AACATGTGTGGGAATGAATATTAAGGGTGTTGGATAATGGTGAAAGGAATAATCAGGTCATATTTATATATAAAGGCTTACCAAGCACAGATTCTGTATTTAATGCTACAGCTTGAGGAGTTAGGAAGGGCTCTAACAGTTTGATTGGTTGGTTTAAACATGAGCCAAAAATTGGCCAACAGTGAGTGGGTTTGCTATGGTTTAATGTAGAGGAAGCAATTCAAAGGTTTAGGAAGTTAGGAATATTAAAGTGGATTTATCATTGAAGATCTACTCACCCTGGAAAGGTCCAGAAGACATACCTTAAACCACTACTATGAGAAATAAATCTGTGAGAACCCTGGCATCCTTAAAAAGCTATGTGATGACTTCTTTTACGCTAAACCTTACAGTGGGAACTAAAGTCACTGAATTAAGAAACATAAATGCAATGGGAGTAATTGGTTCCTAGGGTGGCAGCAGCCAAGTGGGATCACTCTACCACCAGAGGCAAGTTGGGCTTGGTTACCGTAATGGACAGCGGAGTCAGAGCAGCAATCAGAATAATCTGACTCACACAGACCTATGGCATTGGCTAGTTGAGCATGTTGTTTCTAGAAATAAGACAGGAAGCCTGCTAAATTCTTACTTGATACGTATAAGCAGAAAAGTTCTAGGTCAAATGAACAAAAGCCTAACCTAAATCAAAAACAGTCATAATCAGTTCCCAGACTTAAGCCAGTGTACAGACCCAGAACCTCTTGGGAGGAGGCCCTCTTAAAAAGAATGACCTTAAGGAATGACCCAGGTACACTGTCAAAAATTGCACTGCTAAGCTTTCTCCCATCCTGCCCCAAAGGGAACAATGGCTTTTTACCAGGGTAACTGCACTGGGAAAAAGAAATAACCAGACCTTTCAGAGACTTACGGACACTGGCTCTGAAATGAAGCTGATTCCAGGAAACCCAAAAGGTCACTGTGATTCATCATCAGAGTAGGGGTTGATGGAAGACAGGTGTTTAATGGAGTTTTAGCTCAGATTCATCTCACAGTGGGTTCCTAAACTCACTGTGATTATTTCCCCAGTTCCAGAATCATTATTTGACAGCATCCCTACATTGGTTCCCTGATCTGTAGAATTAAGGCTATTGCAGGAAAGGCCAAGTGAAAGCCCTTAAACTGTCTTTACCTAGGAAAACTAAACCAAAAGAAGTATGACTTTCCAGGGATTTCAGAGATTAATGTCACCATCAAGGACTTGAAGAATGCAAGGGTGATGATTCGTACCACATCCCCATTCAATTCACCTATCTGGACTGTCCAGAAGACAGATGGAACTTGGAGAATGACAGTGAATTATCGTTAAGCTTAAACAGATGGTAACTTCAAATGTAGCTTCTATACTAGATGTAATTTCATTGCTTGAGCAAATTAATACATCTCTGGGAACTGGTATGCAACTACTGATCTGGCAAATGCCTTTTTTTCCATCTCTGTCAATAACACCCACTAGAAACCGTTTGCTTTCAGTTGGCAAGGCCAACAACATACCTTTGCTGTCCTACCTCAGGGATATATTGACTCTCCAGTTGTAAGTCATAATTTAGTTTGCTTGATCTTGATCACCTTTCCCTTCAATATGATTATCACTCTGGTCCAATACATTAATGCCATTATACTGATTGGACCTAGTAAGCAAGAAGTAACAATCTAGAGTTACTGACAAGACATTTGCGTGTCAGAGGGTGAGAAATAAATCTGACAAAAATTCAGGGGCTTTCTATTCCAGTCTAATTTCTAGGGGTCCAATGATGTGGGTGATGATGTGAGTCATGTCAACGTATCTCTGCTAAAGTAAAGGATAAGTTGTTGCAACTGGCCATTCCTATAAATAAAAAAGAGGCACAATGCCTAACAGGTATCTTTGGACGTTGGAGGCAACATAGTCCTCATTGGGTGTGTTACCCTGGTCCATTTAGCCAAAATGTTGCTACTTTTGAGTGGTGCCCAGAATAAGAGAAAGCTCTGCAACTGTGTACGCTGCTCTGCTACCATATAAGCCAGCAGATCCAATGGTGTCAGTGGCCGATCAGGACGCTGTCTGGAATCTTTGGCAGAAGCCTCTTGAAGAATCAAAGCATAGCCTTTAAGGATTTGGGGGCAAAGTCGTGACATCCACTGTAGATAACTATTCTCCTTTTAAGAAACAGCTGGTAGTCTGCTACTGGGCCTTTGTAGAGACTGAATGCTTAATCATGGGCTAAGTGAACAAATGCCTATGGTCACCAACTCCTACTGCACTGCCTTTTATCTATCAGCATGAATTCCTCGTGGAAAGTTTCTACCATCAACTGGCTTCCTACCCAAACTCAGGTCTGGTTTATAGGTAGTTCTGTAGGATATTCAAGCACCACTCAAAAGTGGACAGCTGAAACACTAGAGCCCCTTTCTAAGGCATCCCTGAAGGACAGTGATGAAGGGAAATCCTCCCAATGAGCAGAACTGAGAGCTGTGCACCTGGCTTTTAGTTTGCTTGGAAAAAGATATGGCCAGACATGTGATTATATATTGATTCATATTCTGTGGCCAATGGTGTGGCAGGATGGTCAGGGAACTTGGAATGAACATGATTGGAAAATTGGTGACAAGGAAATATGAAGAAGAGGTATGTGAACAGACATCTCTGAATGGGCAACAAATTTAAAGATATTTCTTTCCAAAGTGAATGTTCAATAAAATATTTTAAAAATTAACTGGCTAGAGTGATCTATTCTGTAGACACTAGTCATTCTATTTCCCCAGCCACCCATTATAGCCAGTATTCATAGGTCTAGAAATTAAGGGTGAACAATGGGAGTGGCACCACTCACTATTACCACTAGTCTATGAAAAAAAAATGTCCACTCTGACCATTCTTACTCAAAATAGTAGTGGAAGTCCTAGCCAGCACAAAAAAGCAAAAAAGAAAATAAAAGACATATAGATTGGCAAGAAAGAAATAAAACTGTCCAATTTGTAAATGACAAAGAAAAGCCCAAGGAATCTACCAAAACAACTCATAGAACTAAGTGACATCAGCAAAGTCATAGGATATAATATCAACACACAAAACTTAATTATATTTCCATAAACTATCAGTAAACATGTGGCAACTGAAATTAAAAACGCAACACAATTTATAATCATTCTAAAGAATTAAATCTTAAGTATCCTATATAATAAAGAGGTGATATGCAAATTAACCCTCACACCCTCACAAGATGGCTGCCTATATATACTGCTTGTGTAAGTATAAATTGGAACACCAAATTTTCACATTACAATGTAAGGTTGAAGATGCTCAAAATCTATCTATGTGGAAACCCAGGAAATCTATTTTTCTGAGTGTACTGGTCATTCCTGAAGCATACAAGCATGCAGTCAAACCTTCCAGAGGGTTGACTACAGCTGTCTCCAATTCCTCTCTTCCAATTCTCTACACAGATTCTCTAATATGCTTTCATTTTCAACAATTCACTGAACAGCTTTTTGTGAAGATTACCAATGATGTCCACACTGTCAAATCCAAAAGTATACTAGTATTCTCAGTCCTCACCTAGCCTGACTCATCATCATGACTAAATTAATGATTCCCATAATCTTCATTTAAGGTTCAGGACCTCTCTCTTGCTCCTGGTTCTCAGCCTATCTTGCTAGAGATTCATTTTCAGCCTCTTTAGCGGGTTCCTCCTTATCTTCCTGACCCTAAGGTTGAGATGCCCCAGGACTGAATCTTCAGATGTGTTCTCTTTTCTGGCTACACTGACATTCTTGGTGATGTCAATCATGATCATAACTTTAAATATTATCTCTACATTAATGATTCCCAAAACTATTATTCTAAACCACATGCTCTCCCATACTCCACACTCAACTTCTCCACCTTCATGTTTAAGGGGCATCTTAGTTTAATATATATAAAAGCTAACTCTTATTTCCCATTACAACCACTTTCACTGCAACCAGCTTTTTCCAATTTTCTTAATATAATTAATAGCACCTATCTTAAAGCTATTTAGGCCATGAGGCTTCAAAGTTATCTTTGTTTTTTTACATCTCATGTCTAATCCAACAACAAATTCTGTCATGTCATCTCTTCCTTCAAAACATAACCAGAATCTGTCCATTCTTTATCATCCTAATGAAAGACTTCACAATTGTGAGGAGAAAGCAATGGAAAGCCATTTGCCATTTTTGTAGATAAGAGCTAGTTACACCATCCCTTTGATAGTTCATTTGCATTAAAAGCAGGGACAAGGTGAGTCAACTGGTTGCTTTATCTTATGTATGCTTTAGGATTTCATGAAAAGAGATAAAAGAAGGCAGTAAAAAAGGTTCTTGAGGTATCTTTATCATCCAGGCCAGCATTGCAGGGTAGGACAGCAGCTAGATATTCAGAGAAGTGGCCAAAGCCAAGAAAGTCTGGTACATATTCAGCGGGGGCATCTCCTACATAGCATCTTGAAGACCAGATAGACTCCATGCTGAATCAAGTAAAATTATTTTAGATAACGGGTTTATTTTTTTTAAGTCTAGAACTCAAAAATCCCAAAAAATGTCTAAGGCAGATTCCTTCTAAGGTGTTAACACGAAGGGCCTCTCATAATATATCCCTAGTGCCAATGCCACAAAGATAAAATGCAGAATTAGGCAGATCACTATCCTAAATTAGTAGGACATCAAGAACAACAAAAATATGATAAGGGCACTACCTGTAGTGTTAGTTTTTACCATAAATTTATATGGCCTTGAATAAGAAAAGCATTAAGAATACTGGCTGTAAAATTACATGATTCTATGATTTGCTGAGTACAGACTATATCTCAGACACTGAGATAGTTGCTGTAGGGACACAAATAATTACAAATAGATTAAGTACTGTTTTTATTTTAGAATTGAAATAAACAGCAGGTCACCTAAATATTCCTATACCTTCATCAGGCACAATGAAAATATCCTAAAAAAGCAATTTAAGTATGTACCTTTCAGTGCTGTAGTCTTTTCTTTTTCATCTGGACCTCCCTGCTGGATTTGTGCCATGCTTATCCAAATTGGGCACAAAATTAAAGAGCTCAAGGAAATAGACATCAATCTTCAGAAGACAGTCTAGAATGAATGAAAGCAATAAATTAAGCTCTACTCAATCCTGCCTACTCCATGAGAACTTCCTTGATCCTCCCAGTCAAGATTAATCTATCCTAATTTTCCACAGTACTTTGTTGATGTCTATACTACAGTACTCATCAAAGGCTGCCTTGCACTGTAGTTATTTATATATTTGTCTAGGTCAGCTAAAAGATTACAAGCACCAAGACAGAGGTATCAAGTTTTTTCATCATTATATCTATGATGTCACAAAACACAATACCTGATAGTACATACAGATACCTAATGTTGCTGAATTGAACTTAGCTAAACTTACTATTTAGTTTTAGTTCTTTATCATCTAATTTAAAAATATCTCCAAGTAGTTTCAAAAACTGTAACTCTTTTAAGATAAATTGTAAACATATGCTATCTATAAGGTTAGAATGTCTTCTCCTGGAACATGCAGACAGTCAGAAGGAGAAAAATATATAAATACAAAAAGTAGTTATAATTTCAATCTAATGTAATTAAAAAACAACTCTAAAGGAAAAAAACAGCCCTTTTAAAAATGAAACTATGGAAACAACTAAAGTGTCCTGCGATAGAGGACTGGATAAAGAAGATGTGGTACATATATACATTGGAGTACTACTCAACCATAAGAAAAGACGAAATACTGCCATTTGCAACAACATGAATGGACCTTGAAAATATTAGGCTAAGCCAGTGGTCGGCAAACCGTGGCTCGCGAGCCACATGCGTCTCTTTGGCCCCTTGAGTGTGGCTCTTCCACAAAATACCACAAAATACCACGTGCAGGCGTGCACATACAGTGCGATTGAAACTTCGTGGCCCATGCGCAGAAGTCGGTATTTTGTGGAAGAGCCACACTCAAGGGGCTAAAGAGCCACATGTGGCTCGTGAGCCACAGTATGCTGAGCCACAATTTGCCAACCACTGGCTAAGCAAAATAAGTCAGTCAGAAAAGGTTAAGTACCATATGATTTCACTCATATGTGGGATATAAAACTGAAACTCATAGACGGACAATAGAATGGTGGTTACCAGAAGGAAGGGGGGTAAGAGGGTAGGTAGGAAAGAGAAAAGGAGACCAAATATATGGTGATGGAAGATGATTTGACTTTGGGTGGTGGGCACACAATGGAATATACAGATTATGTGTCATAGAAATCAACACTTGAAAACTATATTATCTCATTAAGCAATAAATTTGGTTAATCTTGTTACCCCAATAAATTTAATTTTTTAAAAATGAAACTGTTACATTCAATGTCTGGAAACCATAATCTACAAATGGCAGCCCAGTGAACAATAATAATATAAAATTATGATTTATCAAAGTCTAATTCTGCACTTAAACTATAAATAGATGGCTTTTCCATGAAGAGTATAAAACAACAACCCACTATTCCTAAATTAAAAGAAAAAACTGCAAGACATACCATGGAAAAATTAAACTAATTTAGTCATTCCATAACTGTTAAAGAAATCATATAAAAACTACATTCACGACAATAAGACTGAATATTCCTCTGGTTGAGGAACCCAATTGATTTGCTACCACTAAGCAAACCCCCATTTCTGTTCAAAGGTACATTTTATAATTACCTTTAAAAACTGAGTCATTTTCATAGTCAGCAGAGTGTAGCAATAACTAGAATGAATGTAAGACTATTTTTGACTGAGAACATTTTTTTACTTAATATGGAAGTATTTTTCTGCTGTGAATACTTAACTTAAAATTCTGTAAGTTCTACATGAATAAAATGTGTCTATATTTTCTTAAGGAACATATCTTAGTCTATACAATGGGCAATTTACAAGATATGAGGTTGCAAATGGTTAATCAAATAAGACATGGCCATGGCCCAAGTGGGGACTTACTCTCTAGTTGCCAAATCAAACTGCCAAATAACCACAAGTAAAATATTTAAGACTTAGACTTATAGTTAAACATTATTATAAAAAAGCAATATTGTAAGGGCTATTTATATCCGAGAGTTAGTCTTATCAGTTAAAACTTCCACAAGTCTGTGTACATTTCACCAGTGACTCCTTATTATACAAATTAAAGAGAAATGTTCATAATGAGAGAGTCTACATAGTGCTCTTTGCTAGCATTTCCATAACTAAATTAACTATCTACAAAGGACTTCTTTCATTTTTACTCTATCACTCTGCTAATTCAGTATTTCTTCTAAATATAAACTGTTCAGTCATTTTTCATTAGCCTCAACATGCCTGATTTCTAAACAGAACAAGTTATACAATTATTTCATTGTGACCATTTAAACAAAAGTGAAATTATAAAATATTTTTGGTGCTAGGTCCTTTTCAAGATTCATATTTTAGAGTTTTGGGGAGCTATGGACATCATGGTGACTATAGTTAACAATACTGTATTATATACTTGAAAGAGAGTAGATCTTAGAAGTTTTCACCACACACAAAGGTAACTATGTTAGGTGAGGGATGTGTTAATTAACCTTATTGTGCTAATCATTTTGCAAATATAGTGCCATGAAATCAGCATATTGTGAACCTTAAACTTACACAATGCCATATGTCGATTATATCTCAATACGGCTTTTTTAAAGCTCTAAATACTCCGCAATGTTGACTAACACACTTCCCCTGTAGACTTTGATCTCCATGAGGTCAGGTCCCTAGCACAATGTCTGTCTCTAGCACAATGTCTGGCATATTTGGAGCTCAATGGATATTTGTAAAAGATAGAGGAGGGGAAAGAGTCACATTTTAAAGAATCATTTTCAAGATTCCCAAGATTAAACATCAACTAACAATTATATTCTTATTCAATAGGAGAATAACTAAAAATACATGCCGCAACTCATTGAAGTGATGATACGTAAGTTAGGAGACTAATTACTACTTGAGACCCAAAACCTTATAGCAGCAGATGCAAAGCAGCTAAATATGAAGCAAAAGCCACTTGTCTGTTGATCGATCTCTCTCTCTCTCTCTCTCTCTCTCTGTTTTTGATATTTGCTCTCCTTTATTTGTTAGTTAAAAAATCTCATTTTTTACTGGACTAAGATTTAGAGGTAGAAACTCTCAGAAAAGACAGTCTATGTCTCTTTGCAATCTGTTCCTGGCGTTTTTCTTTGGCCTCCTTCATTCTCTTAGCCAAAAGTTTAGCATATTCTGCCGTCTCTTCCTTGTTTTTCTTAGTACGTTGTTTCTTCAGAGCAATACACCTGTATTTGTGTTGCAGAACACGTGGAGTAACAAGACTCTGAATCTTAGGTGCTTTAATCCTAAGTTTCTTGAGGCTTTCTCACAACATATTTGTGGACATCATCTTCTTTAGAGAGACTGAAAAGTTTGTGGATTCTGCTGGCTCTTTTGGGCCCCAGGCGACCAGGCACAATGAGACCAGGAATATCTTTCTCCCCTTTTTTTACAATGACCAAGTTGTGAACACTGAGATTGGCATCCACAATGCAACCCTGAACAGATTTGCGTCTTCTCTCTCCAGTTCTGCTTGGTCTGTAACAGGAGTGCCCCTTACTCAGCAGCAGGTAGACTCGGCCATGAGTCAAGACACCCTACTTCATGGGGAAATCTCGTTTGTCGTTTCCACCACTGATATGAACCACATAACCCTTTCAATTCTTCACCCAGAGAATCAGCTGCAACTTCTGTGGCCATACGCTTCACATAAAAGGTACCAAGTTTGCGTTCATTGCCCACTTCAATGAGTTTCTGGCAGCCAGTGGCTGGGAAAGAGATGTTGGGCTTCATCCTGAAGCAGCCAACAGCCTCCGAAGCACCACGAAAAAGAAGAGCTCTGTTGCTTTCTTATTTAATGTTATATTTTTAGCCTCTCCAGTTATTTTCCATGGCTGTGGCACAGCTGGTGAAATTAAATCAGGGACATTTAAAATCCTCAATTTCGTTTTCCTAATAAAAATTCAGAGCTATAACCTGCATGACCACAGATAAACACTACTGAAAATGCAGCCTGGAAGCTGTTTGATACATTTGATATGTATTAATATGTGCACTCGACATAGTTTATTTAGTATTATCTGATGGAGGTTAGGTTATAGGGAATAAAGTGGTGGAAGGTTTTTACTGATATGAATTGGGACACAGCTGACATGTTGTATACTTCATGATAACCACTGCTGTTTAAATATGGTCTCCTAGAAATGTTACAGTATAAACTAGATTCAAAACACCTCAGTTTGGGATTTCATTCTGTGAACTACACAAAGCAATTATCATATCTTCTTCCCTTCTATGATTCCAACAGAGAATCCGAGTACATATAAATAAAGCTGTAAGTAACTTGTCATGTGTAATCTTTATCTAGTCAGTATTTCAAAACATGAAACAGTAGAATATTTCTTATTGCCCTGTTTGCTCAAAATATGGCCCGAGCACTTATAAAATGTACAGAAAGATACACAGAAGCCTTAGTTTTAGGTCTGTTTGCTTTTATGCAAATATAAATGGAACTAGATATAGATAATTTTTGCAAGAGAAGGCCTTTCCACCTCACATTGTAAAAGCAATGATGAATGTGCAAAATATATCACAAGAGAAGTAAAACTGGGTTAATTTCTGGAACTCCTGGAGTTGGTTTGGTCCCAAAGAGTCTTTGTTCACTAAGTCAGACTCTGGAAGTCCAGTTCACAATAGCCTACTTGCAATTAAAAGTACAATATGTGAATCGGTACTGGATTGTGAGGAACCAAAAGACTCATCCAAATATCCAGGTTACTCAAAAGCTTCTCATCAGCAAAGGTTAGCTCAGAATGCTCCCAGGATTAGTATTTATATTGTGTATATATTATTATAGCTTATAGTTCTGAGGCTCCAGTGCAAAAATATATGTTTTGGAGTGAGTGTGTGTGTGTGTGTGCGTGTGTGTGTGTGTGTGTATGTGTGTGTGTGTACAGACATGTGGACACTGAGGAAAAGGCTGGAGAATAAGGGAATCAGGCTAGAACAGACCTGGAAGAAAAAGG